GGCCCGGGCACCCACCTGCCGGCAGACGCCCCCCGCCGAGATCCACGCCCGCCGGCGCGCCGCGAAAGCCGCCATGGTCTCCGGCGTGACCGCCGCGGCTGACCGGCCGTCTCCGGAAGCGCCGCGACGCTCTTCCGAGGCCGCCGCCGCCCTCTTGGTTACGGGCACGTGGCCCTTCGTCTCCGGGGAAAGGCGGCCTCTCGGCCAAGGGCCCCTTTCCTCGCGAGGAGTTCCTCCCTAGGAGCGCGGAGGGGGCTGCCGACCCGGCCGTGAAGGGAGAAAAAATGAAATGACCAGTCGGAGACTCGAACGCCCCCTGGGAAAAGGGTAGAGGTCAACGAGTCAGTCCCCACTGTGGCCATGTTTGTCACGGGCATTTTGATTCTTTTGCCCTGCGTGCGGCCATGTTTGTCGCGGTCGAGACATTACGGAAGAGGAAGCGCGGCCACATTTCTCGCGGGCAGTGATGCTTCCGCCGCCACGATAGGTTCGGGCAATTCCTCCCAGCCTTCCTCTAGCTCAGTATTTTTCAACCTTGGCCACTTTAAGACGTGCGGACTTCAACTCCCAGAATTCCTAAGCCGTCATGCTGGCTGGCGACTTCTGGGAGTTGAAGTCCACCCATCTTAAAGGGGCTAAGCTTGGAAAACACTGCAAGTCCAGCTCTTTCTGTTCCATTCTACCATCTGGCCACTGTGTGGAGCATCTGTCGGCGTCACTTCCCTGGAATTAGTGCTGAACTGAAAAAAAAAGAAAAAAAAGTTAATTTAGGGGTGTAACTCAGTTCAGTAGGAGGCTCACAGAAGCAGCTGGATCTGGAAATAGCAGGAGGGGAAGCAGACGCTCCGTGGACCAGCTTTGTAGGAGAGCCGTGTTAGTCTATATATAGCAGCCAAAAATCAGAAGGAAGCTGGTCGCATCTTTTCTAATTAACTTGCTTCATCCAATCATTTCTTCCATGTCACAGAAACCTCTCCTGGGCTCTATCCACAGCTTAAAAAGAATTGATCCTCATTGTTATCTCTTATATCCTTTTCACCTCCCATTTCCCCCTATGGCTTCAACAGCACCAAGCATAACTCTTGCCCCCAGTGTTTCTCAACCTCGGGAACTTTAAGATGGGTGGACTTCAACTCCCAGAATTCCCCCCCCCCGCACCACCAAGGCGCGGGGGCTGGGGGGGGGAGCTAGCACCCTCAACAAAAACCCCAGTGAGTGAAAAAAAAATACAAAATAAATAAAGATT